TTTTTTTTTACTTCATTTTTTACTTACCCCTTGTAAGAGGAATATTTTGAGAGGCACATTTGAACTGGGGTTTAAAAAAACACTTCCTTTTGTGGGGCTATCGATGTTTGTACTCGTTTTGTCTATTGATTTTCGGGTGGTTTTTATCCTAATAATATTATTATTTACATATGGTTAATATGGTTACATATGGTTCATTCAATTTTTTATTCGAAAGAATTTTTTAGTCTAATTATAGTTTGTTTGTTCATTAAATTTTCTCTTTGAAAGAATTTGAGTTATTTTCTATCCATATGGGTAATCCATCATCTGATTCTATTTTTCAAACCAATCGCACCCACCAAATTTGATATCAAATGGAGCTCATTAGTCTACTCATTTTGTTATCTAAAATAATTTTAGCCCAAATTCGTTGTTCTTTATCTAGGGCCATTTTGGTGGCTTATTGAGTAAGTTTTAATAGGGTGACTCATCGTTGAATTTGTCTCATCAAGACTGTTATAACCACAAATTTGTAGGTAAATTAGATTTTTAGTTTGCCTACTCAATTTTTCTCCAAAATAATTTGAGTTGTTACATTTTTTGATTAATTTTGGCGTAATTTCAAGTCAATTTCAAGTGTGTGATTTACCGTTGAATTTTTCTTGCCGAGACGACCATATATATAACCAATATTTCAGGTCAATTGGAGTTTGTTTGCTAAATCAGTTGCCCGTTTAAATTATATACACAAACTACATTTTCTGCATGTGATTGGCCTGTGACTGGTATGTGATCAGCCCGCGTCGAACCCGTGATAAATTTAAATAATCTGACTTTTATACTACCACTAATAATTATTATACCTTATTGGATTAATTTTTTAAAGTAATATACTAGACTAGTACAACGCCCGTGTATTACACGAGTGCTTGCTAAATTTTTTTCTTAAAATCTAAAATTAACGAGAAAAGGTAGTTGAAAATTTAAATATCTTTTATTTATTATGTATTATATTTATTATGTCACTTTTTATTTGTGTGACTTACTTGTGTTATATTATAATAATTTTTTTAACTTACAACATATAACTACATTAAACATAAATATATCAACTGAGAAATAATTTTATTTTTCTAATAAATTTTAATAAATATTATTATTTTTTATTATTATAAAGATAAATATAATTTATCTATTCTATATATACAATATGGATGTCAAATCGAAGATCATGAAAAGATGATTAATTTGATATATTATATATATAAAACCGATAAGAAAAATAAAAGTTATCAACTTTTAAAATACATTTATAACTCAATAGCTAATTGAAGAAACAAATCAAAAGTCAGGGATATATTAGTCACTTTAGTGTCTTACTATGTAAAATTACAAATAATTAAAAGGTTATATTAGTACAAATGCTATTAAAATACTTAAGTTAGCTAAATAATATTTATGGAATGTCTGAACCTAGATTATTAATTATTAATATATCAATAATATTTGTTCAAACCTAATTACGAAGCATGATTTTTCGCCAAATAGGATTCCGAAGCACCAGAAGTAGCCACGTAGGCTCAGCGCATTCGGGAATTATATTCCGAAACACCAGAAGCAGCCATGTAGACTCAGCGCATTTGGAAATTATATATAGCAGGGATTTGATGCCTAACCTTTATTGAAAAGAGACTAATGCTGAATTAAAATTAAATTATGCCATATATGTGCATTACTACATTAAAGTAGAAGGTCTTCTTTGTTCAAAAAAAGGTTAAATAAATAAAAGATTATATTTCTCGTGAAAAGGAAGTAATTAATATGATATTTGATTTCTGACAAATTTTCTAAATTAATCATTTTAATTTAAACTCGATATTTAGGAAAATCTTATGAATATTATTATGTAGTGCATGCTTTAAAACACGTATGTCTTCAATTAACAGTCGATGAAATTGGAAGTCAGGATTTTCTAGCTTATTTGCTTCTAAATTAATTGTCAATGAAACTAAATGTGTCACGCTTGTGTAGAATATTTAGGTTTTAAATTATATTATAATAATTTTTTCATGATGGAAAATTAGAATAAAATATTATTTCTCATCCACCGATAGAGTAAACGTGTCGCATAATTTAATGACCTTTTTTTAAAAAAAAAAAAAGAATTCAAAGTGTTAATTTTGAATTTAATGAGCATTTTTTTAATTCAAAGTAATTACACAAACTGTTATTTACTAAATGCTTATTTACAGACAACCGACATTAGTGTTGTTAAATTAAACGAGACTGGTTCGGCTCGACTCGAGTTCGGCTCGTTAAACCTCGAGATCGGTTCGTTAAGGCTCGAGTTCGAGCTTGGCTCGGCTCGCTTATAGCTCTAACCGCCATACAATTTTTTTAGTCAAATATAATATCTGTCGATTAATCCAATTTATTATCCGCTATGGTATAATAAAATAATTAATCTATTATGATTTTTTATTAATTATCCATTAATACAATTCACTGTTAACCACAGGGGCGGAGCCACCCTAAGGCTAGGGTGGGCTCCAGCCCCATGTAATTTTTTGGTACCCTTATTTTTGTTACCTTTATTTTTTAAAAAATTTTATACATAGACCCATTAGCCCCGTGTAATTTTTTATATAGCCCATTTAATTTAGGGTTGAATGCTTCAAAGAATATCTCCAGGTTAAAATTTTTTATTTGACAACAATGGTGGAAAAATGATGATTGTAGTGAGGAAAAAAGATAACCCTTTATTATCAAATGACAATTGTGACCTTATTAGATTTTATCAATTGAGTTTATAATGTAGCCCAACACACTCTTGCTTTTAAAACTTTTAGTTGACTTGATAAATATTAAATGAGCTGGATTATTAAGCTTGACACAGACTTCTCCAATGGGATATTTAATTGGGTTTGTCTCATTCCACAGTCTGTTATCCATTTTCATTTATTTATTTATTTATTTATTTGTTGATTTCGCCTCCAATAATTAATTCCACATCATTTCCTAGATAATGAGAAAACTCGTACAGAGTTGATTGCAAATATGTTCGACTCTATTTGTTCGATCGACAAGTTCGATTAGCTATTTCAGTTTGGCTTGTTTAAATATATAAGCGATTCGAGATTGAGTTTTTCCAATTCAAACCAACATATGTTTACACATAATTTGTTTCTAATCATAACCAAAACGGGTTACAGGTCGAAACCGTCGATACCGGGCAGAGAATTGGAGGATTCTGAATCGGCGCGAACATATGTACGTGTCGGTTCATTGAACTGTTAGTTATTGGTTGTCCGGTTCTTTAAATAAATTAAAATAATATTTTTTTAGTAAAAAAACTGAACCTCGGATTCCGGTTCCAGTTCGAAAACTGAAATCGCATGTTCAAAATGTATAAATTATAAAATATTGTACATGAACAGAAGTGGTCAAAATCACGGGCCGCTTCAAGATCCATGGTCAACGGGCCGGTTTGTGTCGTTTCGGGCCGAACCGACAGGCTGGGTCGACCCATGACCATGTCTACAAGGCTCCAATAATAACTACAATAACATGCAGCCCCGGGTTAAAAAATTTTCTGGCTACGCCCCTGGTTAACCACATATATATAATATATGTATGTATATATTTTAGTTATAATTACGTATTAGCTTATATTTTAGTTAATACGTATTAGCTCATGACATGCGTAAACGCGAAGACAAAAACGTTTCACATAGCTGTTAGCATTAATTAAAAAAAAAATGATGAGATTAGTGTATCTAAGCAAGATTATGGTACCTAATTCAACCGACTAAATATTAGGGTGCCAATTTTAAAATATTAAAATAATATGGGGAAAAATGCAATTATATAGTTATGCATGCTCAACTTTTTAGTCCTGTGTTAAGAGTGAATATATTTTTTTGACAAATTCACATTTTCTTGTCCACAAATATAGAAATTGCATAAAGTTGACTTTGCATTATATTTAATTACTCTATTGAATAATATATAATTAATACTTGTATACAGCAACAATTTTAATTAAATTTTGAGATCATAAATTTTGTATGAATTATAATGCTTAAAATTAGCCACCTTACAATAAAATATAATAATTAATTACATGCCAAAAGCCAGCCATTTGCATGCATACATATATTTGTTGTCAAAAGTTGATACTTTGTTCCAAAGAGTACATATCCCAATAAATAAATAAATAAATAAATAAATAGAGATTTTGGGTTGATTTTACAAAATACCCAAATAAATAATTAATAAAATAAAAAATTACTTAATTAGTGATTGTTTCAACTATTATAGATATTCGAATTATTTTATTGATATGGGAAAAGACCAATTTTTAAGGTATATATTTGGTCTCTATAATAAAACATCAGTAAAACTGCTGTTAGACTTGGTTAATGTTAGTACTCAACCATGCGTGTTTAGAGAAATTATACTTTTAAATTAAATTATTATACTAAGAAAATAATATAATTTTATTACATAAGTATTTATTTTTGTTACAGAAATGTAGCCGATCGGTCAATCCGTCTAATTACTAAAATTAGTTACTTTTAGAATTAAAAGTGTTCCCAATATTTATGTTCTTGGTTTAAAAATAACTGATTGTTACCCGTGTACTGTATGGGTGTTTGAAATAAAATATTTATATAAGAAATATGAATATATAAAAGTATTTATGTTCTTATTATAGAATTATAAAAATAAATGTACAATAAATAATGAGTAACTCATAAAATGATAACTATTTAAATAACACACGTTTTTTACCCTCAAATTTCAAAGATGATAATCATTTTAATAAATTTACAAAATTACATATGTCTAACACAAATATTATTTCTACTTCGTTTGATTTTAAATTATTTTTTATTTTTTTTTTCAAGCATGGTTACATTATAATTATTATCCACATTATTGAGTTTGTCTCATCTTTATTGAAATAAGTTAAAATATGAAATAACCAATTTCAATTGTAATTTTCGTTTGCGTTAATCTAACAATTCTTATATAATTTTAAATAAATTTAAAATTTGAATAGATTAAAGTAATAAAAAAAACTACTACATTAATATCCATATATCACTTTTCATTTCATAATTCTTAATGTGGAATAGTATATTAAATTTAGTACATTTTTTTATGCTATATTTATCCAAACATTTTTATTTTATTTGTAAGATAATATATAGTTCTATTTGTATTATTGAATTTGGTTTCATAAATAAATAAGTTTAAAATTTCTTTATCAAGATAGATGAAATGAATTTTAAATTTGTATATGTGATATGGATATAAAATTGGATATCATCAAAAAAAGATAAATTTGATAAATTATATCTAGAAAATAAAATAAAAAAGTTTTTAACTTATAAAATATAATAAAATAAATATAGAATTTTAGGGGGTGGACTTAGCTTTTACGGTTATGATTACTCGGATAATATTTTGCATCTTATTTAATTGGAGAGAACTTGACAAAGTGTTCTTAGAGGTTTAATTAGTCAAATTATTAAAAAATTTGTTTACTTTTTGAATTAAAAAAGTATTGCCAAGATTTTTTATGGAGAGCTATAGGTGCAATTTTAAAACACAACCACAAAGGTCAAATGGATATCTGTTGTAAATTTGTAAAACAGATTTGTTATTTTTAATTGACTAACAATTGATTTTCTATATAATATTATATCTTACAATTAATTATTTGCTTTTTTTTTTTCAATAAAAC